ACGGTTCAAGTCCCGGATCTGGTGGCTTGCTTTCTCACTTTCTCTCTCTCTTGTCAAATTAAAATAAATGAATGAATAAAATTAAAAAAAAAAAAAAAAAAACCTGTAGGGTTGGGACCAGCAGTTAGCATAACAGCTATGTCGCTGAACTCTATGTAGCAAAAACCTCTCCAAAACAAAAACAAAAACAAAAAACACACAAAAAACCTGTAGGGTTGTCCCCTAGATGGTAGCATTCATTCCTGGGGACACAATTCCAACTTCTGCACCTTTTTTTTTTTTTTAGAGGTTTTTGCTATAGGGTGCGTGCACTCACCAGAAAGACAGAGAGAGACAGAGAAACAGAAATCACCCCCCAGGGGGGATGGTCACGCCGCAATCCCTTCTCCTCCATTCTCCTCTCGGGATCATGCACATGCGCCCAGCATGAGTGTAAGCCACCGGGTCTGGGACTTGAACCGTGGTAGACTACATGGGAGTCTATGACATAGCCATTACGCCAACTGCTGGTCCCGCCAACTCCTGCACCCTCTTAGACCTGCTAAAGGGTCCACATTTTTCCCTTCTGATCTAGGAAGATGAAAACAACTCAGGCACGTTAGACCTCAGTGCCTCCTTCTCTGTTTTCTCTGGACATCTTCTCCTGCCTCCCAGGAGGGAGCATTGGGTTTAAGGCTTGGAGAATTGCAATGACTTGTTCAAGGTCATTCAAAGGCTCAAAGCCTTCTCCTTGTCCCTGGAGATTCTGCAGGGTGCTGCTGGTAAGCATGCGCCCCAGTTTCATATGGAGTGACTCATGGCCCCGAAGGCAGAGAATCCAGGTCACTGGAAGAGTGTTGAAGGGAGTGAGGTTAAGAATAGGAGGGGCTGAGGTCTAGGCACCTGGTTTTCTGAATCTGAGACAGCAGGAACTTCCTCATCGTCTCGTCTTCTAAGCTGTAATTGACCGTCCAGAAGATGCAGAGCTGTTGATAGTTTATGATCAACTCCAGAACCGTCCGGAAACCTTCCGCTGTGTCAAAATCCGGCGAATTGCTGCCTTTCTCCCAGGCGTAGACGGTGAGCAGCTCCAAGGCGTACTTTGGGGGCAAAGAGCTCTTTGTCTTCACTTTCCTCCGACACTGGGGGAAGAGTGGAAACGTCAGATGATGCGGGAAGACAGAGAAGCCCGAGGAGCCCAGGGAGGGTCTGCTGGGGCCGCACAGGGCAGCTGAGTCACAACACAAAGCTGGTGACAGTGTTTCGCAGCGTGGAACTCTAAACACGACAGGTTTGCAGTTTGCCCAGCAGCTGATAAGCAGCTCGTGGGTTTTTTTTTTTGGCCATGTGTGCCCTCCTGAAATAATCAGCTAGCGGTGGTTTGCTGGAAATCCATTGCTTGCTATTTACAAACCCAGGAATTTTACCTTTTTTAAGAGGTAGATTTTTTTGCTTTAGGGTGTGCGTGCTCGCCAGAGAGACAGAGAGGCAGAGAGACAGAAAGTGAAAAATCACCCCCCAGGGGCATTGGCCATGATGCAGTCCCTTCTCCTCCATTCTCCTCTCACAATTTTGGGAATACAAGCACACGTACTCGGTGTGAATTTTAAGCCACTGATTCTGGGACTTGAACTGGTAGACTACGTGGGAGTTGAGCAATGTAACCACTGTGCCATCTGCTGTGCCCATGTATTTATGTCTTTTTATCACTGAGAGAAACAGAGAGAGACAGAGAGGAAGAACCCCAAGAGGGTTTTTTTGAAAATTATTTATTATTATCATTTAAAAATTTGCTATAGAGCACATGAGCTCACAGAGAGACACAGAGAGAAAGCAAGCTGCCAGATCTGGAACTGGAACCATTGTAGGCCATGTGGGAGTCTAGGGCCTTAACCACCATGTCACTTGCTGGCCCCTTCCAACAGGGTCCTGACCCTGTGATGCACCCTTAGCCTTGGATCCTGGGCAAGTTTGGATCCTGCAAACCCAGAACCTTCCCAAGTGGGACCGTCTCACAGAGCACTGGGTTTTACTGCTGTGCCTGCCACCCGCCCAGCTCCTGAGTTTTATTCGAGACAAAGATACGAGGCTTGGGGAAGTGAAATGACATGCTCAAGGTCACTCAAGGGCTCAAACCTTGAGCCCTCTGAGCAGTCGCGCCATGCCACTGCTCTCTATATTAGACTTCCAAGAGCTGGCCATGGAAAGGTGACATTGCAGGAGGAGCCGGTGTCGTGCTTGACATTTGCCATCACGAACGCTCAGAAACTACCTTGGAGCGAGACAGCTGATGCCAAGCTCAGGGAGGCTCACCGTACGGACAACACAGCCCTAGCTCCCCCTGTAGCTTCACCCTGCCCCCAGAGGCAGCAGCCATGGTGTTAATCTAGGCACTGAACAGGAGAGGAACCACACCAGCGCCATGTAAGCGTGTGAATCCCAACCTCCACCCAGCCTTCGTAGGCAGGATAACACGGATCCCTGCAGAACGCCCTGGTCGGTGTGAGGGCCAAGTAGACCACGTGTAGCAACTTTGATGATCGGAGCTGCTCTATACCTGGCCCAAATGAATGGGGTTAGTGGCAGGAACTCTGCAAAGACACCAGGTGTAAGGAGTGGACAGGTTCATTTCCCAAAGAAGGTCAGCCTTCAGGATGGGAGAGCTGGCACCAGGTACTTGGGTAGTGCTGGCTTAATGGTCATGCTACCTGGTGAAAATAACAGCCGGATGGCCAGGACGAGACGGTCGTACCTGCGTGTACCAGTGCTTTACCAGACGGATTAAATCCTTCAGTTTGGGGGGTCGGGATTCGATGAAGTTGCGCTGCAGCTCGGTGAAACAGGAATGAAACTCTCCCCCGAGAACGTCTTGGGACTTGTACAGATCTATGAGGTCGGCATAGACCTTAGGGTTGGGCGAGGAGCCGGAATTGCATTGGCCTAGCATGAGGGAAATATTTACGTTTATTACGCCTTACTAAATATAGTATTTCTTAAGTAACAGATTTCAAAACATGTTTGGCAAATTTAATTTGATGCAGGGAAATCACTTTGAATGATATTTGTATTAAGATATAGGGAACAACTCCCCCAAAATGAGATAATAAAATGAATTAGATGGGCCTACGTGCACACAGGTGATATGATTAAAGTATTATCTAGGGGCTGGCAGATGGCGTGGTGGTTAGGGGCATTGGATTCCCACGTGGCTGATCATGGTTCAAGTCCTGGACCTGGGGGCTTGCTTTCTCACTTTCCCTCTCTCTCTTTCTGTCCCTCTCTGGTCAGATTTAAATAAAGAAATAAAGTTTAATAAAAAAATTTAAAAAGAAGTGTTATCTAGCCCTGTACTGTCCAACATAGTAGGCCACCAGCCAATGTGGCCTTGTGCATCAAATGAATTAAAAAGAAATAAAAATTTAGTTCATTTGTACTAGGTTTATTTCAAGCTCTCAGTAGATATAGAACATGTTTTTTCTTTTTTTTAAAAAAGAATTATTTAATTTAACTTATCTATTTTAATTTGACCAGAGAGGGACAGAAAGAGAGAGAGGGAAAGTGAGAAAGCAAGCTACCAGGTCCAGGACCCGAACCGTGGTCAGCCACGTGAAAGTCCAGCGCCCTCAACCACCACACCACCCTCCGGCCCCAGATATAGAACATTTTCATTACTATAGAAAGACTTTTTGGACAGCACTGGTCTAGGGTTTGCAAACCAGGACCCTGGGCTGAATACAAATGCTTGTATTATAAATAAAGTTTTATTGAAACACCACCAGCCCTATTTACGACTGTATGGAAAATGGCTGCTTTCAAGCTAAATGCAATGGGAGAATTGAGTAGTTGGTGACAGGTTCTGGGGGCTCTTCAAAGCCAATAATATTTGTTATCTTGCCTTTTACGAAAATGTTATGCACTCCCATTCTGTAATGTTTCGTTTCTGAGAGACGCTAAGAATCGTTCAGAGGGAGTGCACTAGCATCGTCATGATTTTTACTTGAAAAAAACGCCTGAAATAGTCTTGATTTCTTTTAAAATACCATCATGTACCTGTCATCCGTGAATTGAATTTTTAAAGAAGATTTTTGCCTAAGATTGAAGGCAAACAACCTAGATTTCCTGTGTCTTCACCTCAGAAGTCTGCCAGGATTTTCTTCTTTTTTTAGGGAGAGGTTTTTGCTATAGGGCACATGCACTTGCCAGGCAGAGAGAGAAGAGAGACAGAGAGCGAGAAATCACCGCCCACGGGGGATGGTCACGCCGCAATCCCTTCTCCTCCATTCTCCTCTCGGGATCTTGGGCACGCACGCACACGTGCCCGGCGTGAGTTTTAAGCCACCGGGTCCGGAACTTGAACCATGGTCAACTACATGGGACTCTAGCAACATAGCCATTATGCCAACTGCTGGTCCCTTTTCTTTTTTTAAGAGAGATTTTTGCTATAGGGCGTGTGCATGTGCTCACCAGAAAGAGACAGTGAGAAATCATCCCCTGGGGAGGATGGCCACACTGCAATCTCTTCTCCTCCATTTTCCTCTAGGGATTTTGGGCGCACATGCATGCGCACCCTGTGTGAGCTTGAAGTCACTGGATCTGGGACTCCAACCACGGTCAGCCATGTGAGAGTCCAGTGACGTAACCATTATGCCATCTGCTGGTCCCATGGTGCATTTCTAAGTCCCATGGTGTCCTTCCACCCTGCCCACCGGCACTCCCGGAATCAGAACCGAGCTGGGAGTCTCACCTAGAGCGTTGAAGGCAGGCATCACGTCAAAGTCGACACTCTGGTTGAGCATTTTGGATTTCAGCGTGAAGCTCAGCCCCCAGGGAGCCTTCCTGTTGGAAATCTCAAACTTCACTTCAAACTGCTTCTGCTGCTGACAGGCATCCAGCTGCGTGTGGATTTCCTCCACGACCTTGGACCGCTCGGCTCTCTGGGAAGTGTAGCTTTTGAACGAGTTGGGGAATACGATGATGTCGGCATCAGAGCCTGTCTTCAGAGCGGTGCCTTTGGCGGCCGAGCCTCCCTGGGGAAGAGAGGAGGGTGGAGATACAGCTTGCCTTGGCTGGGGCCCCCGTGAGCTGGGACCAGCTGGCGCCAGAGGCAGGTTCTGAGAAGGGTCTAGACAGGCTGAGTCCAAAGCAGAGCTTTTCATTTTACAAACCGATAGATCAAATGATGCCCTAGATGGTTATTCTCACGCCCTTTACACACCCACAATGGACAGGCTAGTTAGAAATATCCAGTTCTTATGTCAATTTCCTAAAGATTTCTCCAAAGGAATATTTCCCATGGCCCGGAAGTAATCAAGTGGGATGTCATCCATACATTGAAAGTTCTCATCTGTTCCTTAATTTGAGGCATGGGGTTGGCAAAAGGTTAGATGGAGAGGTTTTTGCTATAGGGAGCATGCGCTCGCCAGAAAGACAGAGAGAGACAGAGAGACAGAAAGCGAGAAATCACCCCCCAGGGGGGATGGCCACGCCGCAATCCCTTCTCCTCCATTCTCCTCTCGGGATCTTGGGCACACACGCACACGCGCCCGGTGTGAGTTTAAGCCACCGGGTCCAGGACTCGAACTGTGGTCAACTACATGGGAGTCCAGCGACATAGCCATTACACTAACTGCTGGTCCCATAAACTTTTTTTAATAATTATTTTATTTAAATTTATTTATTTAAATTTGACCACAGAGGGACAGAGTGAGAGAGAGAGAGAGGGAAAGTGAGAAAGCAAGCTGCCAGGTCTGGGATTCAAACTGCGGCCAGCCATGTGGAAGTCCAGCATCTTTAACCACCATGCCCCCTGCTGGCCTCGGTAAACATTCTAGGCTTTGCAGTCTACTTATATCTCTACGATAGGCATCTCTGCTTCCTCTTCTTACTCCTCCTCTGTTTCTGTAGAGAAACTTTGTTTTACCCATGAGTAGTATGCACCCAGCTCTGTGGTTGTGAGGACGGGTTGGGTTCCATTTCTTGTATACAGAGCCTCAGTCCACCCACCCCTGTTCCAGCCCACTTCATTCATGTGGGCCCCTCATGGCCTTCAGTGGCTCCTCTGTGGCTGTGGGCCCCTCCTCACAATGTCTAGGGTGCCACCTTCCTCTTCTCTGCAAGGAAACATTTCCAACTTGCAAACAACTTTTTTGTAGAGTTTTTTTTGCCTTAGGGTGCATGCACGCTCGCTGGAGAGAGACAGAGACAGTGAGAGAGAAAGTGAGAAATCATCCCCTAGGGTGGATGGTCATGCTACCATCCCTTCACCTCTTGGGATCTTGGGCATGCCCACACACATGCCTGGTGTGATTTTCAAGCCACTGGGCCCAGGACTCGAACTGCAGTCAGTCATGTGGGAGTTTAGCAACATAACCCCTATGCCATGTGCTGGCTCCACAAATAACTTCTTTAGGAAGATCGAAAACTACTTCTTATCAGCAGATGACCTTCTATGCTCTCCTTAATGTGCTGTAGATCTTTCTTTATTCATTTACTATTGTGTCAATGGGGTCTGCGGGAGACAAAAAAATGTGTGCTTTGGGTGGTCGAACTCAGGCCATGGACCCAGCCTGACTTTCACTGGGAGGAACCTCAGTGAGACAGCTGACTCACTGCTCATGGGATGCGGTGCCATCCCCCAGGGCCCTCTCTGTGCAGCGTGCACACAGATCTGGTTCTGCGTCGCTACGGATGCCTTTGCGTGGATATAAACATTCCTTCCCTCCCTTCTGTGACTCTGGGCCCACGGTACCTGGCCATGTGACCAGCGATGGTCTTTACACCACAGACGAGAGCCGCTCAGTCCTCAGTCTCTAGCTGAGCTGAGGGGGTGAGATGGGATGCAGTTGTTGAAACATGAAAGGAGCCTTTTTCTGGCTTAGTATATACTGAGCTTAGAATCTGCAGGGGGTCACATGGCACCCCCCCCCCCACAAAAATACGTCCACTGGGAACCCATGAGTGTGACTTGATTTGGAAGAGTCTTTATGGGTATAATTAAGATTCTAGAGATAAGATTGTTCTAGATTAGGGTGGGTCCTAAATCCAGGGACAGGTGTGCTTAGAAGAGAAGGGGGAAAGAAATGCAGAGGAGAAGGAGGTGTGGAGGCAGAGGCAGAGGCTGGAATTATGTGTCTACGAGCCCAAGAACACTGAGGATGTCAGCGGCCCTAGGACATGATTATAGAAGCAGACGTGTGGGTCTACGAGCCCAAGAACACTGAGCATGTCAGCAGCCCTAGGACATGATTATAGAAGCAGATGTGTAGCTGATGACACAGGTCATCTATCAACAGCCCCCACTGAAAACTGGTGTCCTGAACTCCCAGCTTCCCCTCCTCCAGTATCGGAGGATGGACGAGCCCAGGAGGCTGGCCATGACCACTGAGCTCCCCCACCATAGTTTCCTTAAGAGAAGGGCCAGGGCTCACCTTGACAACCTTCTGGATCTTGGTGGTTGAATGTTGGAAGCAGTTTTCTTGCAGGAAGGTACAGATGGTGTCCAGGGCTGTACTGATCTCATTTAGGAAATGCTGGTCAGGCTGGAGAAAGTCTTTGATGAACTTATCCAGAAGTTGGCCTGGGGTCGAGGAGAGCGGTGCTGGCTGGGGAAAACAGAAAGCCCCAGGCGTGAGTGGCCCCTGCAAGCCCACCGGGCTCGCTTCTCTTCCTCTCTGGGCCCTTTGCCCTGCCTCTCCTTTTCCCTCTCCAACCTCACCATTCCCCACCTTTGATCCTTACACTGACATACACCGAGAACATGGCTGAGCATCTAGGGTGGTGCCCAGGATCCCCCAGACACCAAGTTCCTCATAGCCACCCTTCCTTACCCCCTAGGGCAGATGTGGTCCTTCTCCAGACAGGTTTAGTGTCCCTATCCCAGACTGCTCTTGGGTTTCCACCTGACACTGCATCCTTGCCTGCTCACGGCCAGTGCTAACTTCTCATCTGTTCCCTCCTTGTTTCCCATCCACTGCAGGAATTGTAGATTTCTGATGAATGTGTTCTTTTGTTTTTTAAAGAATTATTTAATATTTTTTGAGAGATTTTTTGCTATAGGGTGCGTGCGCTTGCCAGAAAGTGAGAGAGACAGAGAGACAGAAAGTAAGAAATCACACCCCCCACCCCCCAGGGGAGATGGCCATGCCACAATCCCTTCTCCTCCATTCTCCTCTCGCACGCACGCACACGCGCACCAGGCGTGAGTTTAAGCCACTGGATCTGGGACTCGAACCACAGTCGACTACACGGGAGTTCAGTGACATAGCCATTATGCCAACTGCTGGTCCCAGAATGATTTAATGTTATGTATCATCATTATTATTTTATTTGTTATAGGGCATGCATGCTCACCAGAGAGAGACAGAAAGAGGGAAAGGGAAAGTAAGAAAGAAAAAAGGAAAGAGAAAGTAAGAAAGAAAGCCACCAGGTCTGAGACTTGAACCATGGTTGACCATGTGGGAGTCCAGCACCTTAATCTCCATGCCACCAGTTGGACCCTCCCCCCCTTTTTTTTTAAGTGAGAGAGCAAAAAGGAGGAGGAGGATGGATAGCTTTTCGTTTCGTTCTGGCCATAGGACTCATGTGCTCACTGGAGAAAAGACAAAGAGGGAGAAAGTGAGAAATTGCCCCATCAGGGGATGGCCCCGCTGCAATCCCTTCTCCTCCATTCTCCTCCTGGAATTTTGGGCATGTACACACATGTGCCTGGTGTGATTTTTTTCTTTTCTTTTTCGAGAGGTTTTTGCTATAGGGCGTGTGTGCTTGCCAGAAAGACAGAGAGAGAGACAGAGAGACAGAAAGTGAGAAATCACCCCCAGGGGGGAAATGGCTACGCCGCAATCCCTTCTCCTCCATTCTCCTCTCAGGATCTTGAGCACGCATGCATACACGCTGGCATGAGTTTAAGCCACCGGGTCTGGGACTTGAACCACGATCAACTAATGACTCAAAAATGACTCAAAATGACTCAAAATGGGAGTCCAGTGACATAGCCATTACGCCAACTACTGGTCCCTGCCTGGTGTGATTTTTAAGTTGCCAGATCCGGTACTTGAACGGTAGCTAGCCATGTTTGAATCCAGCCCTTTAATCACCACACAACCTGCTAGTACCCATGGGAGTTAGGTATTTTTGGCAGGGTCTTGCTATGCTATAATCCCGTGTCCCTAGCCCTTTAGGTAGCTAGGACCCCAGGTGGGCACCAGTCACGTGGCCTGTGTAGACTGGACTGGGAACTGAACTTGAGCCTCCCGTGTGGCCTCAGCCATTGCACCGCAGTGCTCTCCCACTTGTGCTACCACGTCTGAGCCAACACATTCATAATCATCATTATTATAGTTTTTGGTAAGGTGGTATCAGCCTTTGTTGTTAAACTGCCCGGGTAGATTACTTCCAAGGGCCGCAGTTACAGGGTATCACCACTGGGTGGCGTAAGACAGCAGAAATGTTTTCTCACAGCTCTGGAAGCCAAATGCCCAAAGTCCAGGTTTTGTTGGAGCTGGGCTTCCTCCCAAAGCACATGTGACTAAGGCTCTGGAGACGGGGACATTAGCTCAGATCACCCCCAGACTAGCCCAATGTGATCATGTTATAAGAGGCAGGGAGGAGGGTAAAAGTTGGGAAAGGTGATGTGACAAGGGACACAGAGAGAGAGAGACTGAAAGAGGTTCTGCTGTTGGCTCTGAGGATGGAGGAAGGGACTAAGAAATCTAGGCACCCTGGCAGCATTTGCGCATGCGCAGGAAGGGCACACAATAGTTGAGGCCATTTTTGCAGCTTTTCTATATGTTTCGAAGCTTCTCAGAACCAAATGGTGTGCACATGGGGGAATTAATGAAACTGTCCAGGAACTAGGAAAATTGGGGTGAAGGAGCAAAGACCAGGAGCCCAGTGCAAATACAAGCAGAGGGGGCCAGCAGTTGGCGTAATGGCTATGTCGCCAGACTCCCATGTAGTTGACTGCGGTTCAAGTCCCGGACCTGGGTGGCTTAAACTCACATCAAGAATGTGTGCGTGCGAGCCCAAGATCCCGAGAGGAGAATGGAGGAGAAGGGATTGTGGCGTGACCATCCCCCCTGAGGGGTGATTTCTCGCTTTCTATCTCTCTGTCTTTCTCTGTCTTTCTGGTGAGTGCACACGCCCTCTAGCAAAAACCTCTCAAAAAAATAAAAATAAAAATAAAAATAAAAATAGGGGTGGGAGATTGGAGGCAACTGCTCAGACCATCAGCCCTCCTGGACCCAGTGAGGGAACTTCCCTGGTCACAGTCTTTCATTCCAGGGCCCCCTGAGGTCAGGGAGCTCACCCATACCTTCATTTCTGTCCCGGAGTTTTGTTCACTGAGTCCTTGAGTCTCTGCACAAATAGAAAGTGTATCTGCCTCCTATAATGTGGCTCTAAATTAGCCATGTGCCTGGGAATGTGGACTTCGGTTGTTGACCCATTTGGCCTCACTTGGCATATCTGTCCCTGCTGTGGTCCCTAAGAAAAGCAAAATGACTCACTGGACTCACTTGGGAACATCCTTCTGGGCTTGCCCTTCTCTAATAAGCGTCGAGTGCCAGGAATTCATGCTGACAGGATGATTTCTCCTTTTGGGAGGGCGTAGTAGAGCTGGCATCTGTCTCTCGGCCCCAGTTGTAATTAGCTCTCCTGTTTGGCCCTGCTTCTCTTTGCCCTCCCATTCCCACCTGAATGGAGCCCTGAGCCTGTCTCTGCACCTGCAGGTACGACTACTGCCCACCTCTTCTGGGCTCTGCTCCATCCCGCCTTCTCACCTGCTTTCGCCTTTGCAGAAATGAAGTGAAATCTCTCATCTGTGGGTACTCTCTTTCTCTTCCTTTTTGTACTTCTAGTAAGAAAGAAGGTCCTCAGGGGGTTGAATTGTGTCCCCCTTAAAGACACCTATTTGGATTGCTCACATCCAGAACTGTAAGATAAATCTGTGTTGTTTGACCTCACTAAGTTCAGGCCCTTTTTTTTTTTTTTTTTTACTAATGCCAGTGTGTGTGTGTGTGTGTGTGTGTGTGTGTGTATTTACATGAGAGAAAATGAGAGGGAGAGCCCTCCCTGGGGTCCAGTCATGCTGTAATACCTTTCCTCCAATTCTCCATCCTGTCAGGATCTTAGACATGCCCCTGTGTGACTAATCTGAAGCCCAAGGGGCTGGGACTTGAACCCACATCTGCTATTCTACACTGCCTGGGAATGTGACTGTATTTGGAAACAGGGTCTTTACAGATGGAATCTAGTATAGATGAGGTCATTAGGGAGAGCCCTAATCCTGGTAAGAAGAGGAGCGAAACACCAAGACAGACATGCACAGAGGGAAAATGATGTGAAGACACACAGGAAGAAGATGGCCAGTGACAGCCAAGGGAGGGAGGCAGTGACTAGGGAAGCAGCCACAAGCCAAGGGCCACCAAGGACTGCAGGCAACTAGTAGAAGCTAGACAAGGCTGGGAGGACGTCAGAGGCATCACAGAGCACAGCCCCACCCATGCCTGAACTTTGGACTCTAGCATCCTGACACATGAAAGAATAAATTTCTGTTGTTTGAAGTCACCCCGTTTGTGGTACTGGGTTACAGCTGTCCCCAGAAAGTGATTCATTGACCGCTTGGATGATTCAACAGACTGACACCACCAAGTGTTGACAAGGATGTGGAGCAACTGAAATGCTCACATAGGGCTGATGGGGGTGTAATCTGACACAGCTGTTTCAAAAAACTATTTGGAAGTATTTGTAAAAGTCAGATAAATAAGACTCAGTCCAGGTACCTGGAGGACCCTCCCTACAACAAAAAGCAGGCTGTATTTGGAAAACCCTCTCACCAGGACAGTCCATGATGGTGCAGGTAACTCTTCACTCAAGGTGGAGGAAGACAACCAAGCTTGTGCTTCTTTCTTCAGCTCTGGCCAGCAGATCATGTCTTGGCCCACGTTGTTGGTTGGGTCAGTTGGATCCAAGATGACTGGCCTTTGGATTGGATTGGATGAAGAAACAAATTAGTTGAGCTGCTTGTGGGAGAGGAAATGGGTTTTGGGGAAAGAGGCTTGGAATGGGCATCTGGTCACTGGGATGTTGATTCCTGAGGTTCCTTTGAGCTCCATGTCTAAGCATCTAGTCTCTTTGGCCCTGTGCTCTCTGCTTTGCAGAGATGTTCCATTCACAAAACCACAATCCTCTTCCTTCCAACCCCTTTGTTCTCAGCCCCTTCCTGCTATAAGGGGAAGCACCTTTCTAGTGTTTATTTTTGGGACAAAATTTGACTGTGGTTTAGAAGGGCGTATTGGCCAGGCCTCCCCTTTCAGATAGTCTCTCTGCCTCCCCAGTTACAATGGCTGCTGTCCTTTTGCTGTGTCACTGGCTGGGCAGCACAGGGCTGAGACCTCATCCTGCAGAGCACCTGGGTGTTTGGGTAGGGAGATGCAGGGACAGGGCCCTGGGTTGCTGGTACCTTGGTGATCGGATCTGGTGCAGTAGGATATTTCTGACAGTCTCATCCTCAAAGTCGTAGTTGATCGTCCAATAGACGCAAAGCTGGTTGTACTGGCAGATCAGCCTCAGAACGGTCCTGATGCCTTCAGCGAGGTCAAAGTCTTCTGCTCCACACCCCTGTTCCCAGGCATATACCGTAAGCAGCTCCAGGGCATATGGAGGCAGCGAGGATGAGCCCTTCAGTTTTATTTGGCACTGTGGAAAAATAAAGGGGTAGAGGCTAATTTGGAGGATACAGTTTCTCCTATGTTAGGAATCTAAAATAAACTAGAAGACTATAAGTCACTGTCCCCCACCAGAATGCCTCAAATTCAACAGACTGACAACATCAAGTGTTGACAAGGATGTGGAGCAACTGAAACTCACATATGGCTGATGGGGGTATAATCTTGCACAGCTGTTTGGAATTATTTGTAAACGTCAGAAAAATAAGTCAATAAATATTCCCCATATATAATTTTACATATATACACATATGATGAGTCATCAAAAAACTCATGAGCAATGTATATTATGAATAAATTATATGTACTATGGAAAACTATGGATTTCAAGAAATTTTTGAGCCAGGCTTTGCCCCAGAGCATAGCAATTAAGAGTTGGATCCTAGAGAGCCAAATGCAGTTAGAATACAGCCCCAGGTGGCTTGACAGACACACCAGGCTTATGTATGTGTGTTACTCAAATCCTGGTGGGATGACAAAATGGAGGGAAAATGATTATGGTGAGACCACACTTCATTGGAGGGGGGATTCTTTTTCTCTTGCACATGTGCCTTCTGGCAATTCAAAACACGTTTATTTCTGCTCCAAAATAAACTCATATTTTAATCTAATTTTCTTATGAACTTTTTGAAATCCCCTCATATGTACACACAAATATATGCCACATGGCTATGTACACACACACAGATATGCATACACCTTAGAACCCAGTAATTCACTCTTGCATATTTGCTTAAGAGAAATGAATGCTTTTAAAACATATTTCTTTATTTAATTGTATTTGTTATTATTAATTATTTTTTAATTTGACCAAAGGGACAGTGAGAGCGAGCGAGAGAAGGGGGAAAGTGAGAAAGCAAGCTACCACATCTGGGACTCGAACTGTGGTTAGCCATGTGGGAGCCCAGCTGCCTTAACCACCATGCCACCAGCTGGCCCTGAGAAATGAATACTTTGAGTCACAAAAAGACATGTTGGAGAATGTCCATAATAACTTGGTTCATAACCCCTATTTGGCAGGGACCCCATTGGGGTCCCTGCCAGATACGGGGCATATTAATACAACAGAATATGACAGCACAATGAAAGATGTATATTACATGCACCTCTGTGAATGAATCAGAGGATGTGAAGCAAAAGGAGGCAGACATGGGGCTAGCTCTGTGGCCTGATGGCTAAAGGAGCTGGATCCCACATGGCTGACTGTGTGGTTTGAGTTCTAGACCCAGTGGCTAGAAAAACACGTTGGGCCTATGTGCATCCATGCCCATAATTCCAAAATGAGGGGAAGATGGAGAAGAACTGCAGCATGACCATTCTCCATGAGAGATCCTTTCCCCCACCCCCCTTTTTCTCTCTGGTGAACAATGCACCCTCTGACAAAAAAAAAAAAAAAAAAAAAAAGCAATTGCAAAGCATATGCAATATGATCCCATTTATATAATTTAAAAATAAGCAAAACAAAGTGCCAGCAGATGGTCTGGTAGTTAAGGCATTGGACTCCCACATCAACAACTATGGTTCGAGTCCCAGACCTGGTAGCTTGAAAATCACTCTGGGTGTGGTGGTCAGCAGGTGGCACGGTGGTTAAGAGCGCTGGAATCCCTCATGGTCAACCTGGGTTTGAGTCCCAGACCTGGTGTCTTACTTTCTCGCTTTCTCTCTTTGTCTCTTACTCTGTCCTTCTCTGGTCAAATGAAAATAAGTGAATAAATAGTTAAATAAAATAATTATTTAAAAAAATCACTTTAGATGCACATGCATGAGTGCCCCAAAACCCCAGGAGGAGAATGGAGAAGAAGGGACTGTGGCATGGCCATTTCCCCTTGGAGGTGGTTTCTTACTTCTCCTCTCTGCCTCTTTCTCTCTACAGTGAGTGCATGTGCTCTATGGTAAAAACTTAAAAAAAAAAAAATTGAACCTATTTGGCAGGGACCCTAAAGTTCACCACTAGTAGATAATTATGGGGCACACTGATACAATAGGATACTATAATGCAATGAAAAATGAATATTACATGGGCCTATATGAATGAATATCACAATAGGGGTTTGTTTTGGGGGATTATTGAAAGGGTGGACTTGCATATTTGAGGAGCAGAAAGTACTGCTTATTTTTTTTTTTTTTTGGAGAGGTTTTCGCTATAGGGCGCGTGCGCTCGCCAGACATACAGAGACAGAGAGACAGAAAGCGAGAAATCACCCCCCAGGGGGGATGGTCACGCTGCAATCCCTTCTCCTCCATTCTCCTCTCGGGATCTTGGGCACACACGCACATGCGCCCGGCGTGAGATTTAAGCCACCGGGTCTGAGACATGAACCGCGGTCGACTACGTGGGAGTCCAGCGACATAGCCATTACGCTAACTGTTGGTTCCCTGAGTACTGCTTATTTTGATGTGGGTGTTGTCTGCAAGGATACCGATTAAACTGTCCTCCTAAGATTGTTATACCCTACTGAATGTAAATGATCCCCATGAAAAGGAAATGATCCCAGGACCAGCAGTTAGCGTAATGGCTATGTCGCTGGACTTCCACGTAGTCGACCATGGTTCGAGTCCCGGACCCGGTGGCTTAAACTCACACCAGACGCATGTGTGTGCGTGCCCAAGATCCCAAGAGAAGAATGGAAGAGAAGGGATTGCAGCGTGGTCATCCCCCCCTGGGGAGTGATTTCTCGCTTTCTGTCTCTATGTCTCTCTGTCTGGCGAGGGCGCACGCTCTATAGCAAAAACCTCTCCAAAAAAAATAAAAAAGAAAAAAAAGAAAGAAAAGGAAATGATCCCTATGAAAAGGAAACAGATTGTATAAACACAATTTTCAAATTACCTGTCGATACCAGTACTTCACCAGGAGGATCAAATCCTTCAGCTTTCTAGGTCGGTTGTTGAAAAACTTCTGCTGGAGTTCTGTGAAGCAGACTGAGAACTCGCCAGCACTGGATTTTGTCTCATCCAAGGCTCTTTTGAGATCACGATATATGCAGGGCCTGGGCGTTTCCCTTGTGCCTGATGTCAAAGGGACACAGAAACACCTGGTCTTCATGCAGCATGGCTCAGGGTCAGGACTGCTCGGTAACGGAGGTCAAGGTGGTTTGATAACACATGTTCACCGACAGATCTGTAGGAGGACTACTTATTTACATACATGTAACGGTGAAGGGTGACTTGTTGTCCTAGGTCGTAGAATAGCATCTAAAACTATGGGCACAAAAATGGTATGGCGTTGATTCAAGATCAGCAGAGTCAAGGACTCAAGTAGAAGAATGAGAAACACAATTATAAATAAGAAAGAGAGTACTTCAAATCAGTAGGAAAAAAGGTGGCTTCATGGAAAAAACTGTTGGCATTGGACCAGCTGCTGGAATGGTGCTTGAGGCCTCTGGATCCCACACGGTTCAAGTTCTGGACCCAGCTAGTGGCTTGGAAACACACAGGGCGTGTGTGCATGTGTGCCCAGAATCCCAAGAGGAGAATGAAGGAGAATGGATTGGGGCATGGTCATCTCCCCTGGAGGGATGGTTTCTTTTTCTCCTCTGTCTCTCACCAGTGAGTGCACGTACCTTATAGCAAATTAAAAAAAAAAAAAAAGAAAGAAAGAAAGAAAGAAAGAAAAAGAATAAAACCTGTTGGCACCACTGGCATAAACCTGGAAGCAAATAAAGTTTTTATGCCGTATAAACGCTGTATTGTATATTCCCCTCTTGAGCCCACCCAGAGCATATGCTTTTTGAGAGTCGAGGCTGCAGGGTCTTTGTAGAGGCCCTGAGTCCTCCACCCCAGAGTCTGGGAGTGGGATCCAGTTTAATCAGTGGTTTCCCATCCTTGCTAGCTGAGCTCCACTGCCTACACACACATTTAGATAAATAACCAGAGAAAGCAGTGGACTTGTTCCTTTCCCCCCCCCCCCCCCCCCCCCGCCAAGACTATTTACTGCCTCTCTAGGCATGGTTCTGGGCCTTGAGCATGCAGAGAGGTTGACGGAAAGAACATTCTTAAGGACCAGAGTGACTCCCTTTTTTTACAGGGCAAATTCATCTTGTTAAGCCCACCTTGCTGAGAATCGACACCATTTCAAGGAGGCGAGCCGATCAAGGAGGAGAAGGCCATAAGACCATCACCCCACGGGGCTGGCCAGTGAGAAGACACAAAGGAAATCCCAGAGACCTGAAGTAACTTTCTTGCCAAACAGTAAAGGACAACTATGCTTCTTCTTCTTCCTCTTTTTTTTTTTCCCTTTGGAGATGTTTTTGCTATAGGGTGCGTTCGCTCGCTAGACAGAGAGAGAGAGACAGAGAGACAGGAAGCCAGAAATCCCCCCCTGGAGGGGATGCTCACGCCGCAATCCCTTCTCCTCCATTCTCCTCTCGGGATCTTGGGCACGCACACACACGCGCCCGGTGTGAGTTTTAAGCCACCAGGTCTGGGTCGCGAACTGTGGTCGACTACGTGGGAGTCCAGTAACATAGCCATTACGCTAACTGCTGGTTCCCAAGACAACTATGCTTCTTGAAATCTACAACCAATGTGTAGCCGCCTGAGTGCATTCCTCAGCACCCCTCAACAGTCAAATAAAAACCCAGTCCAACTAAGACCAGGGCTCTCAACTCTGACCCACTGTGTTGGTGATGGTTTGGAGTCCTGGCTCTAGCTCGAATAAAAGCAACCCTTGTGTGCTTGCATCAGAATTGGCTCCTTGGTGGCCTTTTGGGAATTTCGCAACTGGGGCACAAGTCCATGCTCTATGACGGCCATCACAGAGCTGACATTTACTGAGAGCTCGAGTTAGGCCCTTCATGTACAGAGAGGCACACAAAAGGCGGGTGGTGAGTGCTAATTGACAGACGGGGAAACTGAAACTCTGAGAAGTAGTAAATAGATACTTCCTGTTTGGGCTCAAAGGCCTGGGGAGAGTGGGGACAGACAGCAGTGGAAAGAAACGCAAAATTGAAAAAAAACCTTCCTAGACCTACTATAAAACATAAACCAGATTAGCTAGGATAATATGTAGTAAAACAAAACAAAACGAAACAAAACAAAACAAAACAAAAAAAGCAACCCAAACCCAAAAGCAAACAATTCACGAATTTCTCTGTTGATTATCGTTTTCACGAAGCGAGCTTTGCTGTTTCCTTGTAGAAAAGGGAGTTTAGTTTGGACTGTGCTGCTCTATCCCCACCTGGTGGAGGCTTCTGAGTATCACACATGAAGGAGAGCTAACAGTATTTCCATTCGCACACCATCTTTGCAACACAGGGTGAACCAGCAGAGGGCATTCTAGCCTGGTCTCCTGCCACTATCTTCTGAATAAGGAGATGGTACACGGAATTTTCTTTAGCAGTACTGAGACACACATGTCTCCACACCTGACTCCAGCCCTTTGTCTGAGGCAGACATGCACGCACAACCTCTCGCATCCTGATAGCCCTGGTAGCTGGTTTTATACAGGCCACCTTTCTGTGAATGTGAATCATTGGGATGCGAGTGTGTTTCCACCTTACTAGATGATAGTTGGATGAATTGTTCTTTGAGAAATTCCATAAAACTATGGGCGATGGGGGCCGGCAGGTGGCATGGTGGTTGGGGGGCTCTGGACTCCCACATGGCTGACCATGGTTTGAGCCCTGAACCTGGCAGCTTTCTCTCTCTCTCTCACTCACTCTGTCCCTCTCTGGTCAAATGAAAATAAGTAAATATAGTTTTTTTAAAAATCTTTAAAAAAATAAATAACATCTATGGGTGATGGATGGTACTTGGGCCTGGGGCTTAGAAGACCTGGGTTGTATTCTGTTCTGTCAGAAATTGACTGCATGGCTCTGGGCATAACTCTTTCCTTCTTGTCCAGTGAGGGGTTAAATTTCAGCTCTTCTACTCTTGAAATTTGTGATTATATGTACATATGTGCTCGAGACTAAGCTGTAAGTATGTGAGTCTTACTTATCCATCCACATCAATCCATTCATCCATCCATCCAATAAATCATCAGTCTATCTATACACATATATCTGTCCATTCTCTTGCTTATTTTTCCACTTATGACCCAATCATCCATCCACCCATCCATTCACCCAGCCATCCATACATTCATCATCCACCCAGCTATTCCTCCAACGAGTATTACTGATAATGAACATTTTACTTGAGACCGTAGAAAAAGACTCTCACAGTATCTATCCTCATGGAGCTTACAGTTAGGAGAGGAGAAAACTACACAAATTATTTCTGTATTAGTGAAAACTCTCAAGATTTACTGGGTCATCGGGAAAGTTGTGATGGATTCTTACATAGGAAAATATAGAAAAATACATCGTGACTTTTCTGACGACCCAAAAGAAAGCACACATTGCTATTGAAGCACCTAGGAAGTGGATCCAACCCAGATTTAGGGCGCCAGAAGAATTAAAATGATGAGTTGGGATTACCCAAAAATAAAAGATTGAAGGAAGAATGTTCCAGACAAAGGAACTGCATGGGCCAAAGTCTCAAGTCAAGTGAGCTTGGGGGGAGTTTGAGGAGCTCAGTGAAGCACAGAGTGGCTGGAGCACAGAGCAGTAGTTGGTAGTAAGTGGTAGAGCTAGAGAGGTAAGCAAAGAGCATCCACCAGATCATCAAAGTCCTGTCCCATTGAGGAGTTTGCTCTTGATCGTAAATGCAATGGGAAGCATTTAATGCAAAATCATATTCGCACTTGAAAAGAGAGCATCTAGTTGTGTGTGAAATAAGACAGCAGTTGAGTATTTCTCAAGTAAAAGCCAGAATTATAAGACCATAGTCTTATAATTGAGTGGCCGGCCTCCATTTGTCCACCCAAGGAGACAACTGAGGCCATTACTGAATCTGGACCAGCCCCAATGGCAGCCTGACTAAGGAAGAGAGAAATGAAGCAGATTGAAGAGCAAGTGAGTGGAGCTGGCAAGACCTAGTGGTGGGCTGCGGGTAAGGAGATGAGAGGAACAGAGGTACAACTCCGGCCTAGGTGAGAGGCAGGACTGTGGACATCCAGAAGGTAGGCAGGTCTTGGGGAGATAGAAATTGGGCTTGAGGCACCCTTTAACCTCTGGTAGGTAGCTGCCCATGGAAAGTGGTTGCCTTGAGGCTGACTTGGTAGGAAGGCAGACTTCAAATCCTCACCTCGGCTGGACTTTCCCCAGATATTTGCCCTATTTTCTTCCTCCTACAAACTTGGCTCTAGTCTACCCCAGGTGTGGTTTGTGAGCCAGCAACATTATCATGGAGTTGGTTAGAAATGCAGGATCTTGGGGTCTGCAGGTGGCATGGTGGTTAAGGTGCTGGACTTCCACATAGCTGACGGTGGTTTGAGTTAAGGACCTGGTGGCTTGAAAATCACACCAGGTGTGTGTACGTGCATGCCCAAAATCCCAGGAGGAGAGTGGAGGAGAAGGCATTGTGGTGTGGGCATCTGCTCTCAGAGGTGATTTCTTTTTTTCCCTTTCCCTTTCATTGTATCTGTCTGTCTCTCTCTGGCGATCAAACACACCTTACAGCAAAAACTTTAAAAATATATATATAGTTTGGGGGTTGGATGGTGGCTTGGTTGTAATACAATGCTTTGTGAGGCTGATCCACATGAGAAGGTTCTGAGTTCGTATCTGGAAACCTCCCTGAGATACCGGTCACTTGCATGCCCATGATCCAGGGTTGGCTGAAGCTGGGGGTGGATCATGGCATCAAGACCCTGTTGAGAGTGCTGTCTCTTTCATTTGTGGGAGAAATAAAGAAATAACATTTTAAAAAAGAAAAGAAAGACATGGATGTTGGGCTCTGACTCAGATCTGATTTGGACTCTGCATTTTAACAAAGTTCTAGGTGATCTTGGTGCACTTACAGGTTGAAAAGCTCTGCTTTAGATCCTAGAATCTAGAACATTTTCTCCAATGTCAGTTAGGACAGTGGCCCCCAACCTTTTTGACACTAGGGACCAGTATCATGGAAGAGAATGGGGAGGTGGGGGATGGTTTTTGAGCATGCATGACCTAGATTGCTTGCATGAACAGTTGCAATACAGTTCATGCTCCTATGGGAATCTAAGCCATTGCTATGGGATAGGAAGCGGAGCTCAGACTGTACTGCAAACAATGGGGAGCGGCTGTAAATACAGATGAAACTTCACCCACCTGCTCGCTGGTATGGGTCTGAGTTAGCAGATAAGAGAGACGCTCCAGAGAGTCTAGGGTAGGTAGAACCCTTCTCTCTGGAGGGTTGAGAGTCTCTCATTTTGGAAAGTACCAGTGGTATCTTTCCTACCTCCAGCCTAGAGAACCTGCAGGACTGTTGGACACCCCCTCAAACTTTCTCCCTTCCACACCCAGGGGGACTCACCCAGAGCATTGAAGGCAGGTACCACCTCAAAGGAGACACTATGCCACTTTGTGGACACCTGGATGATGAGTGCACCACGGAGCCGCTGGATCTCCACGATGTCTGCCAGCTCCTTCAAGAGCGGCTGGACCTTTAGCCGATGCTCGATTTGATCGAGGATTTCCCTTTGGCTTTTCTTCTGATCCTGGAATTGTGTGAAATGACTGAGGAAGAGGACGAGGGTACCATCGGACTTGCCTCTGAAGACTGTTTTCCTGCCATAGGAGCCACCCTGCCAGCAACAGGAAAACAGATGTAAGCATCCATCTTTGGTCCCAGAGAACTCTAGCAATTGAGTGTTTCTCAACTCAAGAGAAAACCTAAAATGTCACTGCAGTCTTATCACTGAATGGCAGGTGTCCATTTGTCCAACCAGAGATCTGGTTGGGATGTCTAATCAACACTTCTCCTGCCAGCCCCAAACCAGAGGCAATTCAAATGGCCATCAACAACAGAACAGAAACACGTGGATAGCCACACGATGGACTGTGACACAAGTCCACTAGCCCTCACAGTGAAAATGATCATGGAGAACCATGTGAAACAACACCAAGCTCACAGACGTGGTAGGTCAAAGAAGCCACACACTAAAGCAACAGAGTGCCAGATGTCACCTATGAAGGTGAGGGACTCCTCTACCTGGGACAATTCCAGTTTTAGTCCTGAAAGTCCTACATCCCCTGAAACACTTCCGTTCCAGTTGAACTGTGATGCGTGGTCACCCTACATGTATATAAAGTTAAAAATCAGGCAAAACTTGAGGACAATGGTGGCACAGTGGTAAGGCAGCTGGACTCATATGGGGAAGGTCATGGGTTTGCATCCTGGGACCTCCATAAACATGCCAGGCATAAATATGTGCTTGTGATCCATGCTGGCTGAGGCCCAGAGTGGCTGTGGCATAAGGATCCAAAGAGGGGATGAAGCTGGGGGTGGATCATGTCAATCTCTCTCACACACACACACACACACACACACAGACACACACACACACACACACACACACACACAGAGTCTCTCTGTCTCTCTCATGGAAGAAAGAAATAAATAATATTTCAAAAAGACTGGCAAAATGAATCTATACTGTTGGAAATCAGAAGAGTGGCTGCCAGGGGCTGAGAGTAGTGGAGAGAAGGCCCAGGGCTCTCAGGGATGGAAAACGTCTGATTTCTTGAGTGTGGATCACACTATGGGAATGCTGTATGATCTTTTTCTCTGTTTTATTTTGATGGGGAAAAATGTTAATGATGTCATGAGGCAGGAAGGCGTGATGGCTACATACGCATGCCCTCAAGTGGATTACTTGGGTTTGACTCCCACCTCTGACACTAGCTGCAGGTTGAACATCCCTAACCTAACACTCCCAAAGTCAAAATGCTCCCAAATCTGAAACTGTCTGAGAGCCAATGTGACGTCTCAGGTGGAAAATGCCATGCCTGACCTCATGAGGTTGTGATCTTACTCAGGGGCCAGGTGGTGGCTCAGTGGTAAAACATGGCATTGTGTGAGGCAGACTCATGTGAGAAGGTTGCGGGTTCACATCCAGTGACCTCCCTGAGGACAGCAGTCGTGTGTGTGCCCATGATCCAGAATGACTGAGGCTGCGGGTGGATCATGGGGTCAGGACCCTGTGGGGGGTTTTCTCTCTCTCCTAGAATAAACCTTGAAAAATGTTGTACAAAATTATTTTCAGTCTATGTGCATAAGGAGTTTACAAAACACCAATGAACTTCATGTTTAAACTTGGGTCCCCTCCCCAGGATGTCTCATTACGTACATGCAAATATTTCAAAATCTGAAAACATCTGACATCTGAAATACTTCTGGTCCCAAGCAGTTCAGAGAAGAGAGACTTGGTAGCTAGATTTTTAACTTGATTTCTTCCACGAGAGAGACAGAGACAGACAGACAAAAAGACATTCCCAAAGGGGTCTTCACACCTCCATGCCCAGCCAGCCAGGATCACAGTCACACACAGATGTACCTGGTATGTGTAGGCAGGCTCCAGGATGCAAACCCAGGACGTTCCCCTGTGGGTCTAGTGGCACCACTGTGCCACTCTCTGGCCCCGAGTCCTTTCCTGCTAAGGCTAGTGGGTGCATGGAAGGGCAGAGGCCCGGAAATGTGTCTACAGAGAAGTGGGACATCAGCAGTATTGGAGGGCAGGAGTGGTGTTAGGGACCTTCCCTGTTTCCCTCCTTCCCTAAGGTCCTGAATCTTCAGCCTCAGGTCTGGGATTTCCATAGCACCAAATTTATTATTATTATTATTTTTTAAAGAGAGAGAAAGAGAAAGGG